AACTGAAAATTCAAAGAAACAAGCTGCCGAATTGTCGTGACTGGCCCAATGCCACGACAATTCCAGAACATTAGCTTCATTTATTCACTGGGGGCCACTCGCGGCTGGCTTCCTCCACCGTATCCTCATTACCATCTCCATCTCCGTCCGGGTCTTGGCGAACTTGATCCGCCTCTTTCTCTTCCTCGCCCAACAAATCATCATTGTCGAGTCCGACATCCTGCATAACAGAAGGGTCAAAGCATAATTTCTTTGGAGGCAGAGGCTTATTCTCAGAAACAGTCATCATCTCTTCATTGCCTCTCTTTTTGTCAAATAGCATCTCCTCCAATTCGCCTAGACTCATCTTGAAACCAGGCTTCGGACGCTTCTGCCCATCTTTCCCAGAACGTCCCCGTGTCCCCTTTGAGGCTCCACTAGAACGCGCCGCCGGGGCAGCCTTTTTATGCTGGGTTTGCTGCTCACCAGGTTCGCGAATGGATATCCCTGAGTTTCGGGCTCTTGAACGGACCATCTCAGCGGTCCTCTTACCATCATCAATCATCTTACCCTTGCCTTTTTCCGATTCGGTGAAACGCCGACCTGACTGTCCAGAACCCAGCATTACAGCTTGAGAGCCAGACCTGTCTTGTTTCTGTCCACCAGCCCCTTCGTGTGTCTCTTCTCGTCCTGCTGTCACAAACTCCTGCATACGGGCAGCAGCAGAAGAATTCTTCCTATTAAGTATGGCCTCAATGCCCAACAAATCTGGTTCCACCAACCGATCAGCCGCAACCTGCGAGACAGAAACAATTATGTGACATGAGAATCCATCCCACCAATGTTTCCACGGATATCCACCATCCTCACATCCATAACTCATGTCCAGAGAAACAGCTCGTAGCCAAACGACTTGATAATGCAACTGACATCCCAAAACAATATGACATGAGAGAAATTGCCATACTCCAACAAGTAAACCAATTAGAGCAAGCCTATGCGAAGTTCTAGTTCTTAATTGTGGACATATCCCCCATAATAATGTGTACGCAGCTCTTCTATTAATGACACTAACAACATAGCAATAAGCACCCAGAGATGTACATAAACCCCCATTCATACCAGGAGTAAACCCATGATTTAAGCGAGCCAAAAAAGGGCCAGAACTACCTCTTGAGGGACGACACGCTCCACCTCCATTGGAGCTAAATCCAGCTGTTCAACTTCGTTCACCACTTCATCCAGCTGGTTCGGGTTGATCCAGACTGAACGTATTGGCAGCAAAGTAGCCTCATCTAGGCGAAATCCCACCGGATCAGTCGACAGCTCAGGGCCATACACCTCGTTCCCTTCATGCCGAGGGAAGCGACATGCCCGCTCCGCATGACCGATTCTGCCGCAGTTGAAACAGAACAAGGGAAGCCTCTCGTACCGAAGTACAACCCTGAACTGGCCTAGTCTTGGATTACTTGCTGTCAATCTCGTACGGAGAGGCAGCTCTACGTTAACACGAACTCTAGCTTTGACAAAGTACCCCAGGTCACCCCTGGTACCAAATAAGCCAGTATCCACTTCCTCTCCGAGTCTTGCTGCCAACCGACGCCCCAGCTTCACTGTGCGGCATTGGGACGGGATGTCCCACATCTGGATCCAAAAAGGAACCCAAGCCAGTTCTTGGTACAATTCGGGAGTGACAGGGGCCCATTCACGGAGCATCAAAATGTGATCCTTGATAATCCATGGAGCCCGCAGCAGCACCCTTTCCCGATCACTCTCATCAGCAAACAAGAATTGCAATAGCCCCATGTCCGCCTCCAAGACCACCACGGGGGAATTACAGCGCCATAAGTTATTCACAATCCTCTGAAGAAGCGGGATGGGCATATTCTCCATGAACAGTCGCCCAATCAAGCTAAGCCTTGATCGAGCCATGCTTTCCTCAACATCTTCGTCCTCGAATTCCACAATCTGGTCATTGTCCTTGGATGAGCCCATGATTGTCGTTTGCTTCCTTAAACCAAAACAGAAACGAGAGAAAACAACGAAAACCAGCAGACTCAGTAATCCCCCCAGGAACAGAGCAGTCCCCATCGGGTAAAAGAGAGAGAACGATGAAAGTATTGAGAAGAACAAACCTAGCCAAAGAACTCCTCGAAATTGAGCCTGAGAATTAGGTCGATGTCTTCCTGTGAGTTCTCTCAAGATAGAGTGTGTTATTTTGCCGCCTGCATGCGTGGTTTTTATAGGGGATAACCGCCTTTCCATCCCTACGAGACGTTCGAAGGAATGACTCACAGCCCCAATCCAAAATTCCCAGACGCATATCAATCCGGCAACTGCCTGGTGAGGAGTAGAGCATATCCCCAATCCCGAATTAGGGATTATTTTGAGCAAACCGATAAGCACGAATCCTCCCGAAAACCGTTGCATGCGCCCGAATCCGGGTATTAGCTTGAAGATCCGGCGTCGAAAACCCCTCCGCCTCCCCACAACAAGAGGAGAAAGTGCAGGGCCATCGGGCTTGATCTTGAGATATTTTCGTCGATAGAGACGAAGGATGATTATCCCCAAAAGGGATTTAAGATTAACCCTACAACGAGGGAAACATAATAATCCTCCAAATGAGGTATAAATCGGCCCGAATCTGGGCTTTCCTTGCTGATAATGATTATGCCATCCTCCATTATCCACCGATCCGACCGGAGACTGGGGAGGAAGCTTGGTCGACTCGCCGCCATCTTCTCCCTCCGCGAGAGCATCTGGGGGCATTTTTTTTTTTTAAAATATATATATATATAAACTAATTAACTCAGTACTAATTATTTAAAAACTTATTTGCATTTTTAAATACTTATAATAATTTAAAATACTAGTTGTGAACAATTTTTTTTCCTTTTTCCGTACTTAGCCACCAACCACTAATTTATTTATTTTCATTTCTAAAATTTAATTGCTAAAATGAGCCATTATTTTTTAAGTAAGGACTGATTTAAGGATATGATTGATTTTTTTTTATTTCCACTCCTAAAATTTCACTACTCAAATTAACTCATTTTTATGTTTTTCTATTTATATTATGTTGATTTAGAATTTTAAACTAGTTACTATATATGTCTATAAAAAGTATCTGTGTTCATAAGGCACCGGTTCATTAATGATTTTTTAACGGTTTAGCACAGTTAGACCACTCAAGCGTGAATTGTTTACTATATCGGTTCATACACTAGTTCGGTTCTAGCAACATTGATTTTTACACTTCTATATCACCAAAATGTTTCTATGTAGAATCGCGCTTTTCGCTTAAAAGTGTAGTCAAAATCTACGCTTTAAAGCTTACGTTTTTATGTTTCTACATCACCAAATGCTTCTATGTAAAATTGCAATTTGGACTGCATTGATGATAGTCACTTAACCAATTAAGTCTAAATTCTATTTACCATGGAATATGATATCATAACTAAGCTAACCAAACTAATACAACAACCAAATTAACTCTTCCATTCAAGGTCCCTAGGATTAGTTAAATCTTCCAAGTTTTGTAACTCTCTATTAGTTTTCGTCTGCCATAATCAGTGTTTTGCTAAAATGGCTAATAGAAACGTTGATTCAACAATTTTTAAACCGCCATATCATAAAAGCTTACCCGCCATATCATAATACTCGCCACATCATACCCACTGTATAACCCAACACAACTCAACCCCCCACCTGACTCGATACTCTATTCTTAACCCTTCCTTTCTTCATAACGCAACCCAATTAAACATAAAGTGTTTGTGTACTTCATGGTTTTGGACCCAATTAAACGATTTGTTCAATTTATGGATTTAGGGACTAGTTTGGATCTCAAATTCAATCCATTATGGACTTGTCCTAAAGTCTGTTGTTTGAAAAGCTAATTTTGTTCAAGGATTGTAAACCTATATCGGAGGTTGTCGGAAAAGTCAATGGTAGGATATTATTACTAAAATTGTTGTTTTACCGTGGTTTAAATTTTTTCTACCGCTAAAACTGTCTATCAATCTGGATCTGGTATCCGATATTTCAGGTCCTACTGGCCAATACGGTAGGGTTTCACAAATACTGATTTTGAGGGATCAAATCCGCTGGGTCCATGAACTTTAAGGGTCTAAATCCGTGGACTTCACGAGCTTGCAAATCCCATAGTTGTAGGTGCGATTTGAGTGAAGGCCGAAAATTCATTACACCCACAAATCTAGTCAAGCATAATCCACAATAAAATCCAATAAACAAACCATAGACTCTTTCAAATTCATTATAAATTTAGGTATCATTTGCTTTTGGGATTTGGGTGATGGATTTGGCACACAAATTCCAAGCATCAAGGATTTGACATATATCCATTATTTGCTAAGAGACACAAATCCGTGGGACCCACAGATTTGGCTCCTTTTTTAGATTCAAATCCGTGGACACCATGGATTTGCAAATCTCATGTTTCATTTGAGATTTGATAGTGGAAGGCAAGTGTACTCTTCCAAATCCACAATGCAACAAATTCATCATATGTCCAAAGGTTCTTAAAACCCAAAACTTTCATTTTCAAATTCAACAAGCAAACGAGTTTTCCAAAACCCAAATTTACCAAAATTCTATTTTTCAAATTCATGAAACAAAATAAATCTTAAACGTGACATCTAAAACTGGAAGGATCAAGACGGTGAGCAAGACTGACAACAAGCCCAATTAACATACTCAAGGTCGTGCCACCTCTTAGCTTCTCTTCTTCATTTAATACCACTACAACACCCGAACTATGCTGAAAATGCCACTTGTGTCCTATTGTTTCCAATATTCCATCTGTGTCCTGAACTATGATACTTTGTTCCATTTGTATCCTGACAATTTCGTTGACCGTTAAAGATAACAGTTGACCAAACGATTTTCAAAACGACGTCAGATTGGGGTAGACGTGGCAGACAAATTGATGCCACGTCATTGCCACATCATATTTAATAAACAATTAATTTATAAATGAATTAAAAAAATAAAGTTAAAAGCCATTTTCATCGAGTCCCCCTCCCCGATTCCGCCCGTCGCTCCTCCCTCCAATTTATGGGCGTTGGTTGTTTCCTGCTTCTGGTAACTAAGATGAGAAAGGAAGAAAGCAACCGCAATTTCAACACTTTCCAGCTCTAATTTCTTTATATTGGATGTGTTCCAACTTCCAACACTTTCCACCTCTTAGCCTTCCGCAATTGCAATTTCAGAAACCCAGCTTCGATATTGCGTTGAAAGAGAAGCGATGTCAGAGGAGGCAGGGGAAAGTATTGATTCACCTTAGTTGGAATAAGAAACTCGCCTCCCTCCGCCAACGTACATTGATTCCTCTCCGCGTCTCCTTGGCTGCTACAGCGACGAGGACTGACGACAATGATGAGAGCGGCGGCGGCGACCACAGATTTCAGACAAGAAATTCCTCCATGGTGGGCGCAGCCAGTGAATCGTCGATCTGGAGAAGAGAATCGGTTGCGGCCACAACCTCCATCCTCCCAACGGACTGCTTCGCTAGTGGCGTCCGCAAGAGCAGAGATGAAGCATCATGGACGAATCTAGGGTCGACGCAATCATTGACCTATTTCCTTTGTTGCCTTTGGCAGGAACAGATCTGCCATCATCGGTACTCTGAATCACCATTACAGATTGGGGGTGGGTGGGGATTTTCAAGAACCCAAAATCCTACTACCCTAATCGATAAACAAGAACCCTCCTCCTTCGATCTCTTCTTTCCCTGGGAAAAAAATGAAAAACCAGACAGATTTGAAATAGTTTTTTTCCGAGCATCCTCATGAACAGCGGCGACCTCGCCTGTATCCTCGTCAACTTCGGCGTCTTTGAATCACCGACGTCTTCGCAAGATCCCCGACCTCTATCGGGTGGATTTCCTCCCGCACAAGCGCCTGCTGCTATCCTCTCTTATGGCGATCCAGAAAGATTTGGTCGGAGAAACAGAAAGAAGAAGAAGCCAGACGTTGGTAAGAAATCATTTGAGTTATTGTTTTATTTTTGTAATTTTCCATAATTTTTATTTTGTTTTCCTTATTTTAATTATTTTATATGAAAAAATAAATGAAAATTGATAATAAAAATTCCACGCCAGATGCCACGTCAACGATGACTGGATTTTCTGTTAAATACTAACGGTCAACGCCGGTCAACACTAACGGAATAATAGTTCAGGACACAGATGGAATATTGGAAACAATAGGACACAAGTGGCATTTTCCGCATAGTTCGGATGTTGTAGTGGTATTAGCCCTTTATGATTTCTGGTTGTCAACTTGTATATATATATATACTAGAATTGACTCGCGCTTTGTCGCGGGCTACTCAACCATTGTGTTGTTGTAGTTGTCAATTGAAACTTAATTCCTTTTATGGTGATGTATGTTTAAGATGATTATTATTTACATTTTTTTAGAAAAATGAAAACTGTTTATTTGATATGTGTATATCTAACTAAACATTCTATGTATAATTGTTGAAAATTCTAGACCGGGTGAAAAAGAAAAACTCTAGAGAAACAAAAGGAATATAAATTGGAACTCGCTTAAAATTTCACGCCTTCAAATCCCATAGTGGAAAATGACGACCTACTAATAAGTAGAAACCATATATATTTATTTTTAATTGGACAATATATTGAGTTGAAAAAGTTAGTGATTCATGGTTCAATTATTAATTCTATAGACGGTTGGTGAGTCGTGTATGGACATGTTCGTACTTGTGAATTAGAATACATAAAAATAGTATACTAATTAGGATTAGACAAAGAAGGCAAATAAAGAAATAAAGAAAAGGGATATGGAAGGCGAATGAAAATGGTTTTGACCAATTCTTTTCATTGGCCGTCAATACTACAGTCAACTCTTTTTCCGTAACAATTTATTTACATTTGATTATATAGATGTTGCATATTTTGTTACACGTAGTTAGTAGAAGTTTGTTTAGTACCCCCCGTAAATTTACTAAATGAGTTTATAAATTTGCTCTTACAATATTTTAAAGTCATCTCTCTTTTACCGTGTATTTAATGTTCAACGTACTAAACAAATATAAACATCTAATACACCTATTTTAAGGGATTGGTGATAATTCATTAATTTTTATATCTATATTCTTTTAAATTATAATTTTTATTACTGCTATTTTTTAAAAAATTGCTCTATTTAAATGTCATACGAAATTTCACTCAACCGATGGGGGGGGGGGGGGGGGGAGGAATGAACAGCAGCTGACGGGGATAAATGTGGATATCCAGTGGCAACTGAGCAGGAGCAGCTCTACCCCGTACCCAGCACCTAAGGAAAATCCCTATGCTATAGGGTAAAAAACGTTATCCGAAAGGTCTTCTACGCGCATGCATACCCTTTCTTTCTTCTAGCTAGGGTAGAGACTAAGATTTAGATTAGTATACCGAACCCCCCCTTACTCAACAGCCCCTCGTATAGCAAATTGATTCAGTAAGGTACATTCCTGTTGGTGGTTTGTGCAGATCAATAATTTAACATACTCGTATTATATTTTACTAAATATATTGTCATGTTACTCAATAAAATGTTCTTTTAAAAAATTGTAATTATGTTTTCAAATGAATGACATACATATTTTTTTGAAGTGAAAATCCCATCTAAATCTATACTTTTATATTATGGTGGATTGGTAGAAGGTTGTTTAGTACCCGTAAATTTACTAAATGAGTTTATAAATTCGTTCTTACAATATTTTAAAGTCATCTCTCTTTTACCATTTATTCAATGTTCAACGTACTAAACAAATATAAACATCTAATACACCAATTTTAAGGGATTGGTGATAATTCAATAATTTTTATATCTATATTCTTTTAAATTATGATTTTTATTACTGTTATTTTTAAAAAATTGTTATATTGAAATGTCATACAAAATTTCGTGCATATCAATATTTTACTAAATATGTTGTCATGTTACCCAATAAATATTATTTTAAAAAATTGTAATTATGTTTTCAAATGAATGACATACATATTTTTTTGAAGTGAAAATCCCATCTAAATTTATACTTTTATGTTATGGTGAATTGGTTCAAAAGAATTGGTGAATTGGATTCATGGATTCAAGTGAAATCTAAACATTGGGGTATCAAAATCTCATAAATTGTAGGTACTAAAATCTCATAAAATTTAGTCATGTCACCCAATAAAATGTTCTTTTAAAAAATTATAATTATGTTTTCAAATGAATGACATACATATTTTTTTGAAGTGAAAATCCCATCTAAATTTATACTTTTATGTTATGGTGGATTGGTTCAAAAGAATTGGTGAATTAGATTCATGGATTCAAGTGAAATCTAAACATTGGGTATCAAAATCTCATAAATTGTAGGTACTAAAATCTCATAAAATTTAGGTACAAAAATATAATATTACAATTTTACATTAAAAATTAAATTTGGGGTATCAAAATGTAAAATATACATTCTTAGACTAATATGTATATTATAGTGACTAATGTGTAATTTTTTAGGTAACTGTAATCCTGCTTCAACTTTATATATACTAAGTAATTTTTTTAAGGGAACCTGGTATCTTTCTTAATCTTAGACAGAGAAGGAAATTCGATTAAGAAAGAGGTGGAAGAGAAAATGGACCAGTTTTCCTATTGGGGTGAGCAGTTGTGTGCCAGCTTTTACCACTGGGTCGACATTTAGATTAAAATAGGTATTACTGTATTAGTCTTGGTCAGGAATCAGGATAGGAGCACTTCTACTATGCTATATAGCATTGGTATTTTAATGTACAATTTAAAATTGTACCCTAATATTAAAGGTATAAGTTTAGGTTGTACCATGAAGGAATTTGCATCATTATGTTATGGTACAACTTTACAACTTGAAGTTGTATCATCAAATAAAAGTACAAGTTCAAGTTGTACCATAAAAGAATTTGTACAAAATGTATAGTTATAATATGAAGTTGTACCATAACGTTAAAGGTACAATTTCATATTGTACCATAAAGAAAAAAAAACTATAGCACCAATACTATATAGCATTGTAAAATTCCTTATCGGGTGAAAGTTTGAAGGATGAGATAATGAGTAATGATGGATGTATTCATATTGAGGTCACTTTTGAATTGTACTATCACCTAACTCAACGGCTTGCTGTTAAAATTGGCACATATATACAATAAAATCTCAACAACTGGCATCAAGGCACCTCGCTCAATAAGATGGCACAGTGTTCAGTGATAAATGATAATACTTCATACATGGCTGTTGGGATTGGTTTTCACGTTTTTTATAAAATGGTGTGCACTACATTATTTTAGTACTGAAATCTGTGAGACCAAGAGTTAATTCATGGAGAATGACAGACATCACAACTCGTATCATAAGAACGTTGGGAGATGATGGATAAAATTCAATTTATAAGATGGTGTTCCTAGTTATTGTGGTCATGAAACTCTGTAATTTATATTGCTTTCGGATTTGGTCAATTTGTTATTATGTTGAGTTGTTACGTTTTACTAAATATATAGGCGATTGCACAATTCTTTCAATTTTGCTTGCATCTTTACTTGATTGATCAAACTTGGGTATCCAGAGAGTTAACTGGTCGATAGGCCTTGAATCTAACTAATTATATTATGAATATTCTTTAGTATTTTGCTTAGTAGAATAAGAAGTTGAAAACACAACCTCCAAGGATGAAGATGTACTTCATCCTTCATCGCCACCTACACCCAAAGAGGCGGAAAATGAAGGGTCAACTACAATACAAGAGGAACCTGAGTTTCCTTTTCAACCCTTCCTCATTGAACAAGAAATGTTATCTAAGAGGTTGAAAGCAAATAGGAGGGATCTCAAGCAACTTGGTTTGCGATCCGATAAAGATCACCTCTTGGATGCAAGTGTCAAGAACGAAGAGGAGTTGGAAGAAGAAGAAGAAGAAGAATTCTTCACGGGGGCCAAGCAAGCAGACACCGAAGATCAACTTAATGAAGAACTTATTTGGGGAAACATCATATCTCCCTATCGACAACGAGAAGTTAACTTATAAGAGAGTTTTGATGTGGAGGAAAAAGAACGTAAAGAAGAGGATGAGCTTGATACTCAACTTGGGGAATATATGAATGACGAAGAAAGAGAGGAGGTTGAAGAAAAGGATGAAGATGATTTGGAGTTGATTCGGGTTGGTTTACCCGAAGGGGCTAACTAGTTTAACCATGGAAGGTTACCCGACCTCAAAGGAATCCTAGCATAGGACCCTTTTACATCACCTCTTTGCCGAGACGAGGCCACGACATCATCAATCCTTCTTGGTGGATCCGGTGATGACCCTTCAATAATGCTTGATTTGGTTCGAGGCAAAGAGAAACAAAGAAGATTTGAAGAGAGGTTTTATTGGAGGTGTCCCAAGAAACTACATCTTGGAGGTCTTGAGCTGGACTGAGTACTTGAAGACAACGTTCGGTGAAACGACGTAAAAGACACGCTAGTTGGGAGGTACCCCAACATCGGTTTGCATTTTCTTTTCCTTTACCTTTCAATAAAGTACTTGCATGTTTGAATTTCGTTTTTAGGTTAGTTTGTAGTTTATGACCATGCCTTAGTTAAGAATGAGTTCTAATAGCCTAGGGTGAAGGGCAAATGATGAAATGTTGTGTTGTTGTGTTGCATGTTTATGAATGCATGTATGTGGTTTGGAGGCCTTTGGTGAGCATGGATTGCATGATTCTGGATGTTTTGATTGTTGCCCACCAAGTGCTCGATGAAATGCTCAAACCACATGATTTTTGCTTTTAACGATTTGATGCATGCTAAATGAACTTCAATGAGTATGTTAGACCCTAGAATCATGTTTGAGGGGTAGTTTCAAATCTTGATCGATTGGTATAAGGTGTATGGCCCCTTGTCTCAACAAAGCTTACCACGTCGATGTGATTTTTGAGAAATCGGTTCATACCCCTACCTTAGTCGTTTAGGTTTTTATTGCCTTTGTCCACGACATTAAAACCCCTAGATTGACATGTTGTAAATAGAACCAATCAATCAAGATTGTTAACTACCTATTTCGACATTGTCTTCCACTTTGCACCCGATAACGTCGTATTTCATGTTTTCACCCTTGTTTCTTAACCGTTTTGGCTGGAATTTGGGTTTCCTTGGCCTATTTTACGCTAGGTTATGCTCTTTTGTCACATTTTAGGTCCTAGTCGTTGAATGAAGGCTTGGACGCGAGTTTCAGGTCATTTGGAGGTCATTCGGCAAATCTGGAGTAGAACACGGTCGTCCCTTCCCTAGGACTTGGTCGTATTTCACCCGGGGTGTGCTAGTGCTTTTTTGTGCGAGAGTGTTCTCGTCTAAGGAGCAAAATACAGGCAAGAACACGCCTGTCTCCACTAGCAGTCGCGCCCGTGTATTTTATGCCGAGGGTTGGATCATGAAGGCTGATGTAGAATGGGAAGCACGGCCAAGACGGTCGTGTTCATCATTGAGCACGACCATATTTTGAGAAGCGATCGTGTAATCCCTACCTCCAACTTGAGTTTTTCCACGTGACCTGATCAAAGCATAGGTAGAACACGGTCGTGTTCCCGACCATGTTTCGCCTAGTGTTAGGTTAAACAGGCGGATTCGAGCCAAAACGGTTAAGAGTTCTAGAGAGAGAAAGTGACAAAGAACAAACCCTAGGAGCTATTTGGAGTGGATTTCTCACCATTGAAGCCTAGATTGCATCTCCAGGAGTGAAGATTGACATCCCATAGCATATTATTCTCATCTTTATGAGTATGAATGCTTTGATTTAGGTTTCCCTCTCTCTCTCTATGGAGTAGACCTTTCTCTCACTTGGGTATGAAGAACCCTAGTTCCATGTGTTAGGGATCTTGATTGTAATGACTTTTTGCAATGCAGTTAAAAGCGCAATTCTACCTAAAAGAGGAAAATGGGTAAAATCGTAAAACGTAGAATCAAAGCGTAAAAGCGTAAGTTTTTGACGCACCCTCTAAAATAACTAAAATATGTTAAGTACCACATATAGTATGTAAAATGTGAGTGTGTAGATTTTAGATAAGTGAATAACTACATGAAATTCATAATTAAAATGTAATATCTAACACATAAGCTAATTTGTGTTGACTCAAAAGTAGAGAAAACTCATAACATCTTAATAATAAACTCATAAACATAGATCGTAACCCGTAAACGAGCTTGAGAATCCAAATTCTCATAAGCTGGTTTGAGTTTACATAATTACATACAATCAATTACCCATAAAATTTTATCGTAACCTTGGTATAAGCCACAGGTGAAGATTAAGGGAGAAGACTGATAGAAGGTCAGCGGCTATTGAGAATACCATTAGGTGTCTTTTCAATTAGCACTAGTTGTAGAACGAGTGATGAATCATGTTTTCCTTTTTTTATTTTTTGCTGATATGTCTCCAAAATTACATCATTTTGGGCCAATTAGCACATTTTTTATGAGATGATCAAAATCATATAAAAACGCTTCATAATCGCGATTTCACCGATTTTATCCATATTTTTACCATTTTTTGTGACTAATCGACTTTAGGTAGAAACTGAAACGTTTTGGTGGCCTGGATACATAAAAACTTAAGTTTTTACATTTTAATGCGCGATTTTGACTGCACTGACTTTTTGGATGATATACTGATTGATTTTAATAGATTGAAGTGTGTTTATTGAGTCAACTGAATCCTGATCAACTTCTCTTGATTTCTGCTTCAACCTATGATAGATAGAATCTAATGAGGTTGTTATAGCTTCTTTAACCGATAGGAGTGAATTGATTGTACGAGAGTCAGTCAATTTACTTCTTTGTATTGGAGTTCGTTTCCAGTAGTGGAGATTTGTGTGAATCGTCTTAGCATTCTATCCCGGTGAAGGCTAGTCACGTGCCGAATAGTCTGTCTAAGAGGGCTTGGTCAGCTTAAGAGATTCCAAGCTATTTTCGGATCTTCTGCAGTCTAATCAACAGTGTATCAACCAAAGGTAATTACAACTTGAACCTAACTATGGAGCTTGGGAGACTCATTCCCGAGTGACTCTTCTTTTGCTTCAGAAAACCGTACCATTTACTGCTTTCTTTCTGCTTTAGTTTCAACTCATTCTCACTCGATTTCCCCGATAGATAATAGATAATCACGATGTAGGAAGTACATCTAGGCTCTGGGTTGACTTTTATAACTTGATCCCACTATATCGCGTTTCCATTCTACGATTACACTTGGTCGCAGTTTGGTGTTGTGTCTTAGCGAGTCAAGTTTTGGCGTCGTTGCCGGGGAACTCTAGCTTATTGTATAAACGTGAACGTTGTTACTTTAGCATTACTTTTTTGCATCTGTTTTCCTTCCCCTGCTTGCCTTCACGGGTTCTGTCTGCAGTCTGTGTGAAGGTAATGTATGACCCATATTTAGTTGGGAGATCTACATCTATTAGACTTAGAAATTGAACGTATTTGTTGCCAGCTCTGAGCACTCAAACCAATACTTGCTATGGAGAAGCACTTGGATAAGGTTGTTATCGCTGACGGGTCTGAGAGCGAAGAAGAAATGGGCGAACCCTATGCTGCTGGGGCGGTTGTCCCTGAGGAGCAGACTATGAGAGAGAACTGGACCGATAAGGCCGAGGACATGAGGTCCAACATCCAATAACCCTCAAGTTGTGGCCAAGAACTTTGAGGTGAGCATCTCGGTCATCACAATGCTGTGACGCTCAGTGGTGTTCCATAGGAGAACAGGCGAGTGCCCCCGCGCGCATCTGATGCGATTAGGGGTGGGCAACGGGACGGGACCGGATACCCGTCCCGTTTGAAACGGGTACCCAATCCCATTTGAAGAGAAAATTCCATCCCATGTCCCAACCCGTACGGGTTAACGGGTACCCATTACCCGTACGGGACGGATAACGGGTACCCGCGGGTACCCATGAAAATCTCACGTAAAAGGAGTCGTATCATATGTCAACATTGAGTTGAGATTTACATACACCATGGGAGAAGGAGAGAGCCTTACCACTGATATTGGAATTGGTAATAACATTGGAGATAGCCATAGCTGTGGAAACCCCTCTCCCAGAACCTGACATGTCTCCTCCAGGCAACAATTTTGCGAACTTCTCCTTCATCAAATCTGCATCTACAAAGAAATTCAGACCAAATTGTAAAACGGGCAGGAAAAGTTAAATCAACTTAACATATATGAAAAGAAAAAACAAGAAACCCCAACCAGAATTCCTGGAGTTGAGCTTGCGTGACTTCGAATCCTTTACCCAACTACCATTTTCTTCATCTCCTCCAATGGCATCGCCGGATGACAACATGCTCTTCCTCTCTCTTCAGGGATTGAGTTAATGGAAGGAGAGAGCCAAGGTAGCAGAAGAATCGATGAATGGAGGAGTGCGGGTAGTACGGGTACCCGTTGTAAAACATCTTGATCCCAAGTCCCATCCCGTAAAAAAAATTATGGGTATTTGGGTACCCGTAACCCTCATAAAACGGGACGGGTATGGGTATACCCAAATACCTGTTTCCCGTTGCCCACCCCTAGATGCGATTCCATGAGCTGATTGATGGGATCAAGATAAATGGGGTGCCTCAATATGCCATCCAGCTACGCTACTTCCCATTCACCTTGGAGGGACATGCCAATCTATGGTTGGACAATCAGCCCTGGGGTCCATCTCTACTTTCAACGGCTTGGCCATTAAGTTCCCGACCCACTATCATCCTCCCTCAAAAATAGCAGACTTGCAAAAGGAGATTACCCATTTCGCCCAGGAGGAGGACGAGACCATCCGGGATGCTTGGGAGAGATATATTGGTCTCTTCATGAAGTGTCCCAATCATGGTTTCAATGATACTTTTAAAGTGGGTACCTTCTACTGGTCCCTCTTTCCTGAGGATAATCAGGTGATCGACTCGGTTTGTGGCGAAAATATGTTGACCAAGACGCCACCGTAGTTGAACCAGCTCTTAGAGGAAATGGCAAAGCAGGGTTATGATTGGGGGACCTCAAGGGGGACTCGCCGAGCACCGGGCCATGGCGTGCAGGCTATGGAAACCGTGACGGGCGACCTGGTGAAGGTGGTCACTAAGCTGGTCACGGAAATTGATCGGAACAGGATGTATCCAATTACAGGACAACAACATGCAATGTATTGTCAATAGTGTGAGAGCAACATGCAATGCATGCGAGGATCCAACACACCGTAGGAGCAACTTAATTTCATTAATAATGTTCGGCGCAACGACCCCATACAATGAGGGGTGGAGCCAACATCCTAATTTTTCTTGGAGCAGCAACAATAATACCAAGCCACCAGGCTTCCAGGATCCTACAGCTGGTCTTCAAAACCAGAGACAACCATACCAGTCCCGCCCGACAAGATGTAGCAGTATCAGACATTTTATCAGCCTAGACAGGGGCATGCTTTTCCGCAGCCCCCACAGCAGCAGTACCAGCAGTCTGACGCGTTTCCATCAATCCCAACACCAGGTGATTTCGTGTTAGAACTAAAGGATCTGGTGATCACCCTGGCCAGCACTAGTACACAAAAGTTCAGTAAGCTGGAGCAATTCATGGAAGTGGTTGCGGGAAAATTCATGGAGATTGAGGCTAGCCAGAGGAACCAACAGAAACTTCTGCAGGATATGGGCACAAAAAATGCACCTGGAAGATGCCCTTGCTTCCAGACCGACTGGCAAACTTCTAGGCCAACCCTTGCCGAACCCAAGAAATCATAAGGAAGGATTGCACGCCATCATGCCGAGGAGTGGGACTGTAACTGCAGATGCACCATCAAGGAGTATAAAGAAGGTGATGCCAATCACCACGAAGCCGAAAGAGGACCTGGTGATGGAAAAGGAGTCAGAGGTTTGAGTCCCAAATCCCAGTCAGTAGTGGCTGAATATAAGTCTCAGCTCCCTTTTCCCACCAAGTTGCACAAAGACGGGCTAAAGGCAGAGTTTGGGAACTTCATGTCCATGGTTAGGAAACTGAATGTTCAAGTGTCCTTCCTGGAGGCATTATCCCAGATGCCTAAGTATGCGAAGTTCCTGAAATATCTTCTCTCTAAGAAGAAGAATCTGAGTGAGTTGTCCACTATGGAGCTCGGCAAGGAGTGCTCGGCCATTCGGCAAAACAAGCTTCCACAGAAGCAGAGTAATACCACCTTGGGGGCGTATGTATTAAAGTTACGTAGCAAAGAGCAAGCCAAAGCTTGATTGAATTTGAACAAGAATAAGCCAGGTCTTTTTTTTTGGGATTTTTGTGTTTAGATACGGAACTCTCGTGCAATCTTTCACGTGAAAGAAGGCAAGATAAGTATAGGTCGATGCTTGGCCACGAACAGTGGGAGTAAATGAAAGATAAAAGCTACTGAGCCACAACCACCCTGCCATCCGAGTATTCACTCGCGTGCATCCTGCCGGATGGCCAGGTCGAGTTGACATGTGTTGGTGGCCACACCCGCCGTGTGCATGGCCACCATCTGAAGCTGTACCTCAAGAGCGATGTGAATACGCTCTTGGAAACACCTGTTCTTACACCACCCTGAGCATCCACCGGTGGCGTCCATCTAAAAGACGGTAAAGAAGCACTTGTTGGGATTTTTTAGCCGGAGCCCAGCCGTATTGATTGCGTGAAAATGTGGTGTTTTGGGGGCAGCAGTTTAGGCTCGACAGTGCAAACACGGTCAGGAACACGACCGTGTTCCTGCCCGTGTTCTCACCCAGCCTGCTAAGTTGCTCTCGACATACAAAGCACGGACGTTACACAAAGGAGACACGACCGCGTTTCTGCCTGTGTCTGTCATGGTTCTGACTCGTCCCCATCTATGCTCGGCTTAAAAATCACGGGCGACTGGGTCAGGGAACATGGCCGTTGTGTTTTCTTTTGTTTGTTTTTGGTTTTCCACTTGGAACTATGGTTGTTTTCTCTATCACCCATTGTGTTTTGGCGACTCCAAGTCTGTGCCTTTGTACTGGTCCCCCTCCTGTCTCATGTTTATGACTGGTCCACTTTCCAGTCGCCGCTTCCGATTGTCATTTCCCAGTAACATTGTTCCCCTTCCCTCTACTCCATTGAGGGAAATGTCGAACTTAGGTGTGGGCAGGGAGGGGGGGGGGGTGCTTTGTGCTTTTTGGAACTTATGTATGTGTGCTTGGAGCCTAGTCCACTGTCCGAATCTTGAGATTTGAGGGCTCCAAGTACTGATGTTTGCATGATCATATTGGCACTGTGGTTTTATGTGGCGAATCGATTGACGGTTAGCATTGATACATGATAATTTATTTGTGACTAAGACAATATGTAATGATGACTGAGATGCGTAGTAGAGTTGTGTAGGGGTTCACTATTTCAACTATTTTCTTACCAACTGTGACTTTGATTGATCACTCATTTTTTAAGTCATTTATGCATCTAGTTCAGGGAATCAGAATGAGATAGAGCATATAGGTACCCATGTGAGATTTGGGCATGTTCGTTTCTTTCTTGTGCGATAGATCCCCCTTCCATGATGTGTAGCATTCACGCTGTCACTAATTAGAATGATGGAGGCATAGGATTAGCCCATGACCAAATTGACTGTCCTGGTGTGTCATACCCCTTAGTCATCCCTGTGAGCCGTGTGACTTTCTTTCATTTGGTCTACAATGAAAAATCACCCTTTTGCATCTCTTTGAGGTTCCAGAGAGTGGTTTTTGCATGTTTTTTTGCTGGAAATAAGATGAGAGTTGGAGGTAGTTCTTAAAAGTTGGGCAGGTGCTTGCAAGGATAAAATAATGTTTACAAGTGGTGGTTCTCTCAAGAAAAAAAAGAAAAAAAGAAACAAATGAAAGCAAAAAGAGAGCCACCATAGAAACCATAATCTTGCTCGTTAAATAGTGTTTCTTAGCAGACAGCTTGGAAATACTAACATGTTGTAACCTCTTTCACTCTTGTGCTCTAAAGAACTTGATTAATGTAGAATAACAGAGAGAAAGTAAATGGTTTGAATGAATGTTGTTGTGTTTGGGTTTGGAACTGTGGAACCTTGTGTTATGAATTTTTCCACCACCTAAAATGTCTTTTCCCATGTCCAAGACCCCAGCTAGTCATCTGAACCCGTGGCTAAGACCTCCTGAGTCTTGGCTAGTTAGTGGTGACATCCGATATGTGAAATCTAGCATTTAGAGGCTGTCATCATGGTGAAGAGACGTTAGGGATTGAGAGTATGAGTATGAACACATCTTGCATCAAATTTTGTCCCGACCCCACTGGTCGAGAGTGAGAGATTCAATTTTCATATTATATACCCCGGTGAGGACCTAGATTACTTGGTCTTGATTCCGATGTCTTGAATTTGATGCATGAGGTGACTGTTTTCAATGAGTGGTTGAGTCAAGTCTATGTTGGTCGGGGAACAGAAGGGAGACTCTTCCTGTACTCATTTTTGCTACACTCGAATGTCATCTGTGGTGGTTGTCCAGGTTGTTGTTGTTGTTGTTCATGTGTTGGTGTCTAGTAGCTAGTATGATTCACGTGTTTTGTGCCTATATGATATATCCCCAAAGTTTGCATGGTTAAAACATTTTAAGCTTAACCTCTGTCTGACTTGGTTTGCTTGGGGACAAGCAAACGGTTAAGTGTGGGGGAATTTGATAATGTCGTATTTGCACATGTTTGCACCCTTTTTTCTTAATCGTTTTGGCTTGAATTTGGGTTACCTGGCCTATTTTACTCTAGGTTATGCTCTTTTGTCACATTTCAGGTCTAGTCGTTGAACGAAGGCTTGAACGCGAGTTTCAGGTCATTTGGAGGTCATTCGGCAAAGCTGGAGCAGAACACGATCGTCCCCTGCCTAGGACACAACTATGTTTCACCCAGGGTGCGCCGATGTTTTTTAGTGCGAGAGTGTTCTCGTCTCAGGAGCAGAACACAGGCAAGAACATGCTTGTGTCCACTAGGTCGTGCCCATGTATTTTATGCCAAGGGTTGGATCATGAAGGCTGATGAAGAATGGGAAGCATGGGCAAGAACATGATCGTGTTCATCATTGAGTACGACCGTGTTTTGAGAAGCGATCGTGTAATCCCCGCCTCCAAATTAAGTTTTTCCATGTGACCTGATCAAAGCACGGGTGGACACGGGCAGAACAAGGCGGTGTTCTCGGGCGTGTTTCGCCCAATGTCGGGTTAAACAGGTGGATTCGAGATAAAGGAGGGGTATTCGACTTTTTGGAGCAAAAACGAAGTTCTAGAGAGAGAAAGTGACGAAGAACAAACCCTAGTAGCTATTTGTAGTGGATTTCTCACCATTGAAGCCCAGATTGCGTCTTCATGAGTGAAGATCGACATTCGAGAGCAGATTATTCCCATCTTTAAGAGTATGAATGCTTTGATTTCCGTTCTCCTCTCTCTCTTGATGGAGTAGACCTTTCTCTCACTTGGGTATGAAGAACCCTAGTTCCATGTGTCAGGGATCT